TAAAAGATTTACTTTTTATTGCTTTAACTTGTGCCAAACACAGTGTCAGATACTTAGCATGTGCTTGGTAAATATTAGTTAAGTCTAAGTTCTTACTTTTTGGCTTAACATATAACGTGTGAAATGGTTTCTATTCATGCAAAAAAAAGCTAATGACAATATTTACTTTATCTTCTACCTATGAGGACTTCCATCGCTCACGCCTTATTAGGCTTCTCCTTACCTTTACTCATATTACTATTAATGACATTGTGTTCTTACTTCCGCGTGGAATCTGTTCCCAGTCACTTGTTAGGTTCCCAGTGTAGTTTATTAACGATCTCACTTTTTTCAAGAGCATACACATGTCATTTAATTATGTCATTGTGAGGCGAATTTCCTTTTTCTAGAAGCTGTGATGGAGTGAGAAAAACTGGGAGTCAGGAGACTCATCAGAGTTCCCGCTTCTTCCCTGTGGTCCTCAGAGGAGTGAATTGCAGTGAAACAGCTCACATTCACGTTCATTGTGTTTGCTCGACTCCCAGACTACTTATCAGAGGCACAGTCACTGCATGGGACTGAAGGGGAATGCTGTCCTCCAACATTCCCTGCCAGATACCTTCTGCCTTTTACTTACTGACTAGGCATGATTTTATCTTTTCATTTGTGAAGCCACAGCTCATTTTTCTTAATTATTCTACAGCTTCTGCATTCAACTTGTGGCCTCTAATATACCTTGGCACTTCCAAGGAGAGAAGGAATATAGTCCTAATCTGGGCCAAAAAGAGTGGCCTCACCCTTGGGTGGGCTCATGGGTGGCACTGGCATCCCAGGAGATGCTCTCCCATGTTCTTCCAGGCTGGATGCATTCAGCCCATGCCTAGTAATCGGGGGACCTCTCACCACACCATCGCTGATCCCAACCTACTTTATTATTTATCCCTTTCTCCTTCTTCCTCCTACTTCAGACTCGTTTTACTTTTCTCAGACTAAAGGGGAGAAAAATCAATGTTCTAAGCACATAACTTCAAAAATGTGGCATTGTAAATCTTTCTCACTGAGAGAATTAGCATCTATTCTAATAGGTATTAATTTAATAATAAATTTGAAAAATTGTCCCATAGCCCAATATAAAATAGAACTACAAAGTCGATTTGGGGAATATATTTAGAGTTACAGCATTCCATTTCTCCTTAAAGCCTGTTATAAGTAATTGACATTTTAAAGTTATAGAGAAACATGTACTTCTCTAAAAGAGGAGGAAATGAAAGAGGACTGACATTTATTCAATTTCTGTAGCACCTCCTTTTATCCCTGTGACAACTTAATGTGTGGGTGGTAGTGCTCTGATTTTACAATCTCAGATTTATTAAATATCCTTTCCCAAGGATACACAATTAATAAGTGCCATTTACATTTTAACTTAATTTAAGGTCATATGTTCTCTGAAATGTCATTCTGCAGAAGCTGAAAGAAGAGGGAAGGTGGAAAGAAAGTATGTATAAATAGTACCAAGAGAAGAATTATTTCACTGAGAACTGAGAGAGTTTGTATCATAAAAGAAAATACTATGAAACATGAAAATAAGGAAAAGTGACATATAAAGAAACAAGCAGTAATACATTTGAGTAGGAAATCTGCTTTTAATATAACTTCAACTTGATTTTCTTGTATTTACACTGTGCCCCAAATTATTATCTACAGGCAAAGTTATCCAGAAAATTAAGGGAGGCATATGTGATAAACATAAAAATTAAAATTTAGACAGAATAAAATAAATAACATTTAGTAATTACATTAAGTATGTTTTCAATCTCTTAGTAAGCTATTTAAAATAGAACAACTGTTCAAAGCATGCTGCCAAATTTCTTCAAAATGACTTGTTTTGAAATGTTGACTAAATAGCCAAAAAGTCTGTATCAACTTTAGTATAATTAAACATTCTTCAGACCAAAAACATAGTTTTTTTTATATTCTTAAACATAAATTCTATGTGGCTTTCTCCTTCATATTAGGACAAAGAGGATTATTCGTTTGTTGACACTCAAAATAATTTTCAGAAAGTTTCCACTAGTTATATAGACTTTGTAATTTATAAATTGCTTTCACATATTTAATTTCAGAGACTAACCTATTAGGGAAAATTTAGTCTTAATATTCACATTTTACATCGTAAGTGTTTAACACACATTTATTTAATATTTATGTATATATTCACTGTTTCCTTACTTAATAATGTTTACTCAGTGAATTGAATGAATGATTCAAGCCTGAATCTCCATCTCCTGATTGCTGAGGAAGGCCATGATTAGAAACATGAACAAATCTGTGTAATAAATGGTGTATTGGCACAGACAACCAAACATGGTATGTTCAATGACATTCCAAATGTCTACTCTGTTGTTCCTCCGTTGTAATGATAGTTTAGGGTTCCAGTGAACATGCAATTCAATGCAGCATTTGCATCAGTTCCTACACATGTGTCATAATGCATTGCTTCAGGTGATTTGTGTTGCTGTTCTTCACTGCATAAGCCTCTACCTGCAGCATTGGAGAAGAAGAGTGTTCTAATGTGTAAACAAATTATCTTTATTTCTAGAATTTACGCTCCTCTCTCACTTTTTCTCCACCCTCTCACCCCCAAACTGCTTCATTACTTACATTCACACAAGCATGGGGAATAGTGGGCCATCCCCTTACATTGAATACTACTTCACAGAGGGAAGCTATGTAAGGCAGGACGCCTAAGTCTATTGCCATACAAGAACAACACCATGCCAAAATGCAGTTCAGAAACTTGAGATGAGTTACTTCTGACTCATCCCTGTCACTCTGCCTTGCCCTACTTCCCCTATCAAAATAAAAATCATCTCAATTTTGTATTCTTAACCACCACAGGTATATTGCCCAGAACTTTCTACTGTATCCTGTGCAACTGGAATTTGATTTGTAAACCAATTGTCTTTTAATGATAGTCAAAGAACACAGTCCATACCCTTTTCCCCGCCCCCTTATTTGAAGTGGGTTCTTCTAGAAGACACTGCTTGTTGCTTCCTTCAATTACCATGTGTCTTGAGGTGGTACTTACACCATTAGGAAGCCTTAACATTCTACTTGAAATTCTCCCTTTTATTTTTTAGGCTTATGCCATTTGTCCTGGTTTCTTTCCTACCAGTCTCTTCTGTTCTTTCATGTGGGATGCATACATTTGGTTCATTGTTTTCTTCTCTACCATAGCTCTTATTATTGAGTAGGAAATTTAAGTGTCAGCTGGGTGCCTTATCCTGTGTCTTACCATTATCATTTCTTGGCCCTCTCAAATTCAGTGGTCTTCTATGGCAATGTATTTTTTTTCTTGTCAAATATGAAATAGCATCCAACTTTAAAATTTTAGGTTGCCATAATCTACTCTCTGTCCCAAACCCCTTACCCTTAAGATTCTCTATTTCCTATTAAATCTATATTTCAATTTTGTTTAGTACCCAGACACTTCACTACTCTTTTTTTTTCCAATTTTGTCAGGCCACAGGTGGCTTCATCCTTCCCCCTAAAGTCCATGCTACATAGAACATTGATACGCAAAGTGTAGTCCATAAATCAGCAACATGAGCATCAGCATCTCTTGGGAACTTATAAGAAATGCAGTTTTCATGGGCTCCACCCTACATTTACTTAAGTCAGAAACTCTGATAGTGAAGCCCACAGCAATGTGTTAGAAAAGCTCTCCAGATTATTCTGATACCTTTAAAATGTGAGAATCACTAATATAGAGCATCGAGTCAACTGGTCCCTTACCAGGCCCTTTAACATCGTTGGCTGGTGAAGAATACCGAAAGGTGAATGCATCATTATTTTGTTCCCAGACCCTTCCATGTGTAAGGGTTTGGACCATGTATAAGAACTTGGACCTTAAAAATGTACCAAGTTCTCCAGCTTTATGAAATAAAGCACTCACATTCCATAACAATCACTACCTTCAATTCAAATGTTCTTTGTAGCTCCTATTTATCTAATTTTGAATGTTGTGAAACTGTCAGATGCCCATTGATTAATAATACTTCCAAAGACATTTCCCTGACAATCGCCCTTGGTGGAAGATGGTGAGCAATGCTAACTGGCTCAGCGTCACCTGTATAAGAAACGTGGATACAGAATTAGAATTGAAGTCTATCTGAATACAGAACCCGTGCTTTTGCTCTTTCACTGCTGAATTATATAAAGCAGAAGTTGCATTGATATGCCTTTAGTTGAAGAAGTACCTACCATTGGTCTCTCTAAAATTTTTAACAGTGAGTGACATAAAAATCTATTATCAAATCACTTTGATAAATATCAGGTTAAATGGTTTCCATTATCATAGAACTTTTAAGAGCCTTGAATATCTTTGGTGTGTATTGATTCTTTTATTTCATCTGGTTTTATGCTGTTTTATTTCCTCACAGTTTTAAACTTGTCCCACTAGGAACTGCTCTCTTACCTCGGGGATGTGTTCAGAGTTCTAGTTAGTGTGCAATATTATCGATATGATGTGTAGGTGTGTATATGCACTACTTCATGTAAATCTCATGATGACTTTATGATGATGGCATGAAATTACAGATATTATAGCATCATAGTACTGTGGCGTATATCCACCCAGTCCTGAGTAAGCTGTGTACAGGTAACATTCTGTAGAACTTACTTTCCTGTCTAACCCACGCCAAACATATGAAATATGGCTTTGATTTAGGTAATAGCTTCCTGTAACCCACATATGTATTCATGACACTATCCAGAGGGGCATTTTGTCCTGGATTTTATTTAAAAATCAATAAAAGTTTACATTGAAAATGACTAAATTATGAGAGTATACTCACTATTAAACAGTTATATGTAATTACAGCTCGCTATATACTATAAATGTAGTTTCAATATTAATTTCAATTAATCTGCACTCAAAGTTGGTTAAATCACTAGGGAATTATGTTGAATAGACCTGTTTTCTGGTCCAGCACGTTATCTCTTTTTCTTTTGTTGTGCAGGTTCTACTGATCTTCTTCTTTGTGTTCCGTGTTCTTCTTGTCCTACTCTGGTCTACTCTGGTATGTTTGCTCAGGGCACTCTATATCCATGTCAGGTAATTATGGGAACTTTACTACAACTGCTCAATATTCAGGTGTTTATAACAGATAGTCTTCAGGGCCTATAATAAGAAAAAAATTTTCCTCTGAGTACTGTGCACAAGTTTCCTTCTTGTGTGATTTTCTGTGAACCTCAGGCTCCTCACTGAGTCTATATTCACTGAGAAGGTGGGATGGGGATTTTAGCCCCTTCTTCTTGGCAGGAAAATCGCTTTTTAATATATGTGACATGAAAACATATTCCCCCACTGTGCAGACCATGCAGTCCATGGCGCCATTAAATATCTCTGGGAGACACAGCATCTCAGAGCCATTTCAGATCCATGGACATGAGGCCAGTTTGTGAACTGGACATATAATGATGAGCACGTCACAGTATCTTCTCTCAAATACATCGCAGAGGGAAGCAAAGGTTGAGTTTAGCCTTAGCACAGAGGGTCACAGCATATCAAAATTAGGAAGTTTGGGACCATCTGCTTCCTTTCCAGTGTAATGCTGATCATTTCGCTGTAGAACTTCTACCCAATGGTCATCCAACCTCTACATGAGAAGAGCAGTACGCTAACTGCTTTAGAAGCTCATTCAATTTTGTTCTGCTCTGATAGCTCACTGACCCAATAATTCTATATTAATAAATCACCTAAAAGTAATCTGTGCGATGCATCACTGTGTAGTTATCAGAATATTATATTCACTGCACATATTTTATAATAAAACATGGGAACTGTTTTATAATAAAAGTACAGAAAACATATAAAAATGAAAAAAAATACCTAATGATCAACAAGAGGATTCAAAAATTATAACAGTCTATAAAATAGAATATGATGCATCTATTACCAAGGATGATATATACAAACTTGACTATATACACATGTTTATACTCTGTTAACTAGATATATCTAGCTATCTATACATATATATATGTATATATATATGTATATATATATTCTGATGTGGAAATTTTTTTACAATATTTTTACATAAAAAGTGAGTCAGTAAATTAAACATAATTCATTTTTGTTATATGTAACACATACACAATATTAACTGAATAGTTACAAACAAAAATGTCTCAAACAGCTTATGCACCCCCACATTCATTGTAGCATTATTTATAATAGCCAACGCATGGAAACAACCTAATTGTTCATCAGTACATGGACAGAGAAAGTTCATATATATTCTTAATATGCTACACTATATGTGTTTTATTAAGCACCTTTTGTTTTGTTTTGTTTCTCTCCTACAGGTCTGTGAAACAGGCAGAGGTTGCAAGTGGTCCTTAAGGAAATTGCAATTATTCAAATCCTTATGTATAGTTCTAATTTCATTTACTATGTGTACTCATTTAAAGAATGGTTATTTTTATAATATTAATAATGAACAAGTACTCTTGTAACCAGGGGCTGTCTAAGTGTGTATCAGAGAACACTAACCCTGGTGAAGAATTCTGGGGTGGTCAGGATGCCTGCTGCCTCTTCACCTGGTTAGTGTTCTAGATTTAGATTACTTTGTATCTGGCTATTATAAGATTACTATTTGATACAGTAAATATTGCCTGATCCAAATAACTTTGCGTAAAATTTTTCGGTATTTTAACTTGTCTGGGGTTTTCTATTTCTTCTATTTTTATAATATTTTCTCATTTTTAGATTAATAAACATTATACATACCCACATGTGCCAAGACATGCCACTTAGGTACCTCTGGGAGTGAGCTCCTGGGGGTCCGGACCTGCCCTGTGTGTTTTGTGTGGCAGCGAGGACTATTCTCCACCGCTGCTCCTTTCTGCAGTATCGTCCCTGCTCTTAGCAAAACAAATAATTGATATGTTAACTCAATAAAGCAGATCAATAGGAATGGAATGCATGCCCCGAAGCATATGCAATGAAAATTGTTTGCCCCTCTACCCAATTATTGAACACGATTAAGACCATCCATTTTAAATTTAATATATGCTTGCTTTTGGAATGTGTTATGCATTGATGCTAAGTGAATGGAGCTAAGTAAATTTATTGAGTATCTCAGCTGTCTATTTTATTTAATTGTCTTAACCTAAGTTTTCTTTCCGGACCTTTAAGACATAACTCAATGATACAACTGACTGTATAAGTGTCAAAGAAACAAATGTTAAAGGAACAGAACCTGGCTAAAGAATAAACAAAGAAATTCCGGTTGTATGAATGAAGTCATATTCTAAATCAAAGAATACATTTTCTTACATTAACATTTTAGTCTGCATAGAAACTCATGAGACCAATTTTCATGAAAGTTATTTTATGATATAGGTAGAAACACATTAAAGGCTTAGAAAATAGTATGTTTTTTAGCAAAACAGAGAGCACACAAGACAGTAAGTTTAGAGAACCAGAACCGTCCTCCATTTAAATATCCTTACCATGAAGAACATTTCTTCAAAAATGTCTAAGAGGAGCCAAATGTTTGCCGTACTCATAAGTTTTTCTCTAATGCATGCTATCCCCAATGCCTGCATCTGAGCCATACTTTCTTCCTGCCACCACTTGGTCAGTTTTTGTTCTTTTTTTGTCCACTGACCTGTTCCTGGGGACAGTCATGCTACTAAGTGCCACATCAAACTCAGGAATCAGATCCATCAGGATATCAAAAAATGCTACCAAAGACAAACAAAGCCAAACACTAATTAAAATGGTAAGAATAGATTTTAATCAATGATGGACTATTACAATAGGGAAGAGGGTCCAGCATGAACTGAACTCAACTTCTATTAGTGCAGAGGCGACTGGATGTTCTGAAGAGTGAATGAGTAGGAATGGGGAATTGCCTGGGCTCGAACAGCACCAAAGAAATGGCAGTTTTTTTTAAAGAAAGCCATTGGTCCACGGGAAACTCACCTGGGTTTGCCCACTGGCAAACTGCTTATCCAAGTTTGACTTCTGTCCTCCCATGGAGACTGGAAAAGGGAGTCTGTCTTCAGGTGTTGTCCAGAACAATCAGTAAATCCCTTTGGCAGCCTTAAGCTTTCCCAAATAGGAAGTGAAGGGGGCTGAAGTAGGGATCCTGCCTTGAACTGTTAAAAACTGTATGTTCAAGTATTTTAATGTGAGTGTTTTGGGATGGATGAAATCATTTGCACTGAGAGTCGGCAATTTTTATAGGCTAAGTTCAAGGTCTGGTCAAGAAAAAGACCGAGAGGAGTCAGGCTAGAGTTTGACCAAGCAAAGACTCTTTATCAATGTCAGTGAGGCAGGATACACACACAGACACACACTCCACAATCCTGGTTTCTCTTATTTGTCAAGTCCAAGGACAGAGGACAGAGCCGGTAAACAGCTAGAGCCCAAATCAGGAAATTTCTCTAGATTGCTTTCCTATCACCTTTTCTTAATGTTTTACATGAAATTTGAATCTGTTATCACTCATTTGGACTCTATTACTCATTTTGCCTATTTTTTCATGTTTTAGAAAAGATTCAGAGTTAGTTATTACAATGGTAGGGTTTGAAAATTTCATGGGAGAAGGGGTTCTAGAAATACTCCTCAAATTTCCTACTCTAATACCACCTCTGTAAACAGATGGCTTTGGGCCCTAAGTCATGCCATGGCCCCTGGGTGTCTCTGACTGGACATGGCCCCTGGGTGTCTGGCCTTCTGGACATGGAGGCTGGACTCTTACTCTCCAGGGCACTGTAGTCTTGTGGGGGAAACATACCTATGAATAGATGGTTTTTAAAAAGTGTGGTAATGTGCAGTGATGAGCACATTTATAAGCCAGGCTATTATGGGAGTTCAAAAGAGCATTTGTGAACCCATCTGGGATCTGGACTTGGAAGAGTATGATTTGTGGGGAGACTGGGAAGTCAGGGAAGGGAACATGGGAAAGATAATGCTTCAGCTGGTTCCCTGAAGACAAGATGGAGTCAAGCACACACAGAGACAAATACAAGGGTTTCTAGGGGGAGGAAAAAAATGAATCAAGCGTGGACATCTGAGTGGGCAGAGCATACATGAGGATGAGAACAAAAAACATGTGGTATTTATTTCTGGAGCATATAGAGTATGATGTGAGGTGGCGGTGGATGGAACAGGGAAGTGCGCGTGAACTAGGCTGGGAAACATCACATACGACATCCTGTGGTCTTCAGTGTGAGGCTTTCATCAGAATCACAGATGCTTAAACTCCACTCTCTGGGATTAAGATGCAGTTGGTCTGAGGTGGACCCCAGTCATCAGTATTTATTTGAAAGCTTTTTACTTAGTCCTAATGAAGAGCCAAGGATGAGAGTCATTGCCAAAGAGAGCAGCTAGTTATTTCCCACAGTAGAAAGGCAGAGTGACACTGGCGGGTGGGTAGGAGAGCTTGCCTGGCAGTGGGAGGAAAACGACAGAAGTAGGAAACCCGAGGAATGAGCAAACACGGAAAATGGGAAACAAGTTAGGGAGCTGTTTCACAAGTTAAAAAATAATAAAAACTTATTTAGACTTATTAAGGCACATATGTGAAGAATCTAACTGTGGTTGGAGTGTTCTGGAAGGCCAGAAAAATGCACCTTGGGTAGAGACTCCAGGGAAGAGACAGCAAGGACTGTGACTAGACTGTGACTATCTTCATGTGATGTCACTTCACTAAGAGACACAGAAATCTCACTTGAGCTGATTATTGCTCCACTTCCTTTCTTTAGAAACAAGGAGATAATCCCTCCCCAGGCCTTTGAGGATGTTAAGTCCCCCACTCGCTTACTCAGCAAGTGTCTGTCACAGTGCCCCTGTGTATCTAATACCATTCTAGACAGGAAGACTCCAAAGTAGTGGAGCAGATGCGGTTCTTGCATTCCTGGAGCTCCTGGCTGGTGTGGGCATAACACTGACAAATAAAAAATCACTTGCAAAGGAACTTAAGAGTGAAAGGTGGGATGTTAAAGGACCATGCCTGAGGTACATTTAATCTACATTTCAGGGAATGAATCTTGGAGTTTGGTGAATCTGCAATCAAAATGTGGAGGGTGATTCAGGTAAAACTGCAGGGAGTCAAGGGAAGTTAGGGATAATAGTAGAGTAAGTAACTGAAGAGTATTTTGAGAGAACAGCAAGCATGTGTAAAGATACAGAGAAAAGGATAGCATGCATGTCAGGTGAACTGAGCAACTGAATATTGCTGGAATATGGGGGATGCACATCATTGTCAAGTGATGCAGGTGAGATGTTAGTAGCAGCAAAACTAGTATGGACATCATAAGGTATATTTTATTCAGGGGCAAGTGAAACACATGGAAAAGTTTTGTGCAGGTGAATAGTAAGATTCCCATTTTAGAGACATAACATTTTGCTTCCTTGTAGAAAATGGATCACAAAGAGACAAGACTGGAGATGAGAGGAGTAGTTAGAACACTTCCAGTAGAATCAATATCTGAGATAGAGAAGTATTTGGATAGGAGAGGTATTTAGATGGTTGATGATTAAAGATGGGTGGGGGGAATTGCAGGTGGTGAGATTTCTAGCCAAGATACCTGATAAAGAAATACATTTGGAATGAGGGAAAGATGTAAATGGAGTTGACTTTCTTTTGTTTAAAGAGACAGGGGACATATCCAAGACTTTGAGCATCTCCAACCTAAAAATAGCCACATGGAGCATACTAGAAGTCTAGGCAGTAGATGGCTTCACCCAATGAGAGCATGTGCAGTGAAAAGAAGACTCAAGACTCAGGAACACACCAGTACTTAAAGGACAAGAAAAAAAATGATTTCAGAGTAAAGATTCTATGTACGCTGGACAGAGTGGGTGGCCCACACACTGTTTCTGGGAAGCAGAAGGTCAAAATCAGTGCACTTCAAGGTCCCCAGTTCCTGTAAGCACAGCTGGATTTCAGAGGCGAGACAAGCATGGGCTCATTTGCTAAACAGCCTCTAGTTGTGTAGTTTAATGAGGCTGTAGAAACCTCCTGTGGGTGGATGGAGAAAAAAGCATCTATATGGGAGTGAGAGGGAAGATTAAGGAACGTAGAGTTTTCTGAATTTATGAAGGAAAACTAAAGTGTGACCAATTTGGGATCTTTTCATTCAGTGTGTAGAGACGTATACCTTGAGAATTGTTTTTTCTTTGCTTAACAGTGATGAAGAGACAACTAAAATCTTCAGGAAATAGCCTTAAGAATTAGTCCTGCTGCAGCATTTTTATCTTCCACTTTTTTTCCCCTTGAACTAATCAAACGTATGTTTTTGGTGGCTATGGGGAAAATAAGCATTGCCAGCTGCCGCAGGGAGGCGGGTGAGGCCCTCCCTGGAGGGTGGGGAGGAAGCATCAGTCATCTTCTTGGGTCGCAGGGACAGAGCTGTCCTCCTACTACAAACC